TTACTTTGGCTGCTAGTTGGGTCAGTTGGATCATTGGTTTTATAACCTCAATCTTTTTGCTGTTGTATTGGGGTTTTCTGGACAGTGCATCTGCTAAGAAGTTCTTTCTCCCAGGAAAATATTTGAGAGTGAAATTAAATCATTCAAAATATTGAACCCACTTTGCTTGTTTTTCAGAGAGTTTCCGTGGGTTTCTCAGGGCTTCCAGATTTTTGTGATCAGTTCATACTTCAAAAGCGATTTGGTTTCCTTCCAGGAAATGTCTCCATGTGAGCATTGCCCACCGCACAGCATATGCCTCTTTCTCCCATATGGCCCATCTTTGCTCGGTTTCCGTCAGTTTCTTGGATATATAAGCACATGGTTGTAATTGTCCATTTCCATTCTTTTGGAGGAGGACTGCTCCAACTGCAACATCACTAGCGTCTGCTTGGATGACAAAAGGTTGTTCAGGATCTGGGTGCTTAAGGACCAGTTCTGCTGAGAATAGACGTTTGAGTTTTTTGAATGCCGCTTGGCATTCCATTGTCCAGATAAGAGGTTGCCTTGGTTTGGGTTTCTCCCCCCCCCCCCTTCATTTTTAGCAAGTTTGTGATAGGGAGGGCAATGTTTGCAAAAACTGGAATGAACTGGCGATAAAAATTCACAAGCCCCAGGAAGCTTTGCAGTTGTTTGCAGGTGTGTGGTGGGTCCCAGTTCATGACCGCTTTTACTTTCTGTGGGTCCATCTCTATTCCCACGTGGGATATTCTATACCCCAAGTAGTCAATTTTTTCTTGGTGGAATTTGCATTTAGAGAGTTTTGCATATAGTTTAGCATCTAAGAGTTTTGTGAGGACTGCACAGAGTAGCTTGATGTGTTGTTCCATCGTTTCTGTGTAGATTAAAATATCACTGGAACCTTTTTATATAAAGATTCATGAAGGGTGTTAGGGATAACATTGTTTTACCCTAACTGTTTTGGGTAAAGATAATAAAATGATGAATCATGGTTTGTCAGATAAAGTGTATGTGACTTTAAGCTAAAGGAATGTAATTAAGGGTGCGGCTGTAAAAGTACTATATAAGCAGCAAGGTACTCTATGGCTCTTACTGGCTGGCTTATTGAAGACTGCATTCTTGCTGGATCGGGGAGGAGAAGAAGTGTTGGATTAATTTGAAGATATTTCTCAATGGAGAGAAGATAAGTTTTGGACAGATTTATTATATGTGTACTGACACTGGCTATTCGACACGGACTTTGCAATTAGAGTATCCTCGACAAGACTTGACTGAATTTGGTATATGACTAATGGACTGTTTATAATGACTATGCTATAATTCTTAAATGGAATAAATTATAATTTTAATAGCACAAGCGTATCTGTATTTTTACTGCGTGTTAACTAGAAAACTTATCTCACACATTTACCTGTCTTCCTATCTGACTTCGCTGTACATTCTGTTTAGTTTGTTTTCCTTAACACCCGTTGGGGAATCCAGGCTTAACACTGGTTATGGGCCCAGAGAGACTGCAAAGTCAGTTTAACTAGGATAAAAACAGGTTTATGTAAAAAGTGAGATTTTGTGTTGTTACACGTTACAGTAAACAGACAGCTGTGTTTTATCAATTATAGTTTTATATCCATATAGTGAAACATGGCACAAGTCAGTCTACAAAGTTTGTCCCTTATATCCAAGCTGGATGGAACAAACTATGTTTCATGGTCTATGAAATGTAGTCTACTTCTACGAAGAGAAGGTCTGTGGAACATAATTGAAAACCCACCAAACGTAGAAGAATGGGATCCTGAAGATGAGGAAGATAGTCTAAAGATAAAAGAATTTAAACAGAAAAATGAGCAAGCACTTTGCATCATAGGACTATCATTAACTGATCAGCAGCTTGTTCATATAC